TACGCTGGATCCTACGCATGGTCCTTTAGTTCTCTCTTATAGGACGCCCCTGGATATATGCTCTTATTGGACGCTATACCATCCGTCACAACATTAGCCACCATATAATCAAATAATTATTTGCATAATTATTTTATTAATAACTACCTCTTAAAAACTTCCATCTGAATTTTGAATCCCATCCCTTCCTAACTTTTGGGGGGAACTTATGATATCCCTTATCATTTCTTTATCCATTATATTCTAATGTCTGCATGCAATCCTATAATTTCCAATGTCATGGGAATGCTTCACATTCACATTTCTTTCAGTGAAAATGAAACTCACATATAGATTCATACTCCCCTTTGAGTATTGTTCCAAACTTTTGGAGAATTTGGTCTATGTTTGCAACTTCCATTTCCACTCTGCTCACTCTCTCTTCAACCAACTCATCCAGTGTCATCCTACCTCCATCATAAATTGCTCTCATTGAGGTCTGCAGTAACCTCACGTGTCCAATAAGTTCTTAAGGGATATTTCCACTCTTCAAAATGCTTGATTTTTCTGTAGCAACCTCACTAATTGCTGCATTCTTCTTCTTTAAATAAAGATCTTTCTGGTGCATTTCATTTTTGTGACAATGGGATTCTGAGAGTCAAATCTATTTAAAAAAACTTTTTTAATCTCTAGGAGAATGATCTTGTTGACTGTAAATGTTTTAACGTACCAGATAAAGAAGGAATAATAGGAAGTAAAAAATTCCTCTCTCTCCATCACTATCTTCAGGGAAATGGAAGTGATAGAAAGTTCTTTTTCTATTATTCTCTTTCTACCCAAAGGGAGCTTGATTGTTTAAAGAGTAGAAAAAATTGAACAATTTATTTAATTCTCAGAGATGCTCTGAGAATTCAGCCCCCAGGGTCCTGGAAACTTTAAATAAGATTACAGTGTGCCCAAGGCAGACAATCTTAGTCTTCCCAGAGATATGGGTGATGAATTTCCTGCCTGTATCAGCTCTCTGTGCTTCGTTGGGAAAAGTTGTAGTAGGAGAAAGTGCTAGGGTCATCAGGTGTTTCCATGATGCCATCTGAAAAAGCCAATGTATCCTGGTAAAAGCTGGGTATGGGGTGGGGGTGGGTGGAAAATGTAAAAAGTGGAAGGAAACGTTTATTACACCAGAGTACAAAGGGCACAAACAAGTGTCTCTCAGATTTTCTCCAGACCAACAGATCAGTGAACCCTGGAAGCTTGTTAAACACTCAACTTCTTGTCCTTCATCCTAGATCTACTCAATCAGAAATTCCAGGGTCAGGGCCAGACATCTGTGCTCAATAAACCATCCAGAACTTACCATGGTTAAAATTTTAAAGCAACTACCCTAGTGGCCTTGTTAAAATGGACGATGAAGGACTCACATGGGGCTGCATCTTCAGATATGAGGGCCTTTCACCTCCAAAATTTTATCTACTAATAATCGTACATTTATGTTTGACTTTACAAAGCTCATGCCCACTTTCTTTTTTCATCTTCTGTATTTGTTTGAATTATCCAAATAATATAATATTAAATCTTAAGGTTCTTAGCAGCAATTCTTGCATGCTCTTTGTCATTTGTTAACATTTCCATGTTGAAAGAATATCTCTCATTGAGAAATACACACTTTTTTAATTTGAAAGACATATCCTTATTTTCCTACTTTGAGAGCCTGCAAGCCTCCCACCCCCCCTACACACATGCATTCAGCCCACCATTTGCAGCAATGGCTGTTAAAAATTATCAAATACATTTTGACCCATATAGAACTGGACAGTTTTCTTTTGATATATTTATGCAATAAATTAATCTAAATAGATTTCCTAAAGTTGAAGCATAATTAGATTCCTGGGGTAAGCATTATTGATCCATGTTGTATTGTTCTTTAACATACTGATAAAGACAGCCTTAAAAACAAAAGTATGAAAAAACAGACTCATGGATTCAGAGAACAGATGGTAGTTGCCAGAGGGGGTGAGGAATGGGTAAAAAAGGTAAAATCTTCCAGTCATAAAATAAATAAATCCTGAGGATATAATGTACAGCATGTAACCATAGTTAATAACAATGTAATGTATATTTGAAAGTTGCTAAGTGAGCAGATGTTAAAAGTTCTCATTACAAGGGCCAGCCCAGTGGCACAGCAGTTAAGTTTGCACCTTCTGCTTTGGCAGCCTGGGGTTCAATGCTTTGGATCCTGGGTGCAGACCTATGCACCACTTGTCAAGCCGTGCTGTAGCAGGCATCCCACATATAAAGTAGAGGAAGATGGGCATGGATGTTAGCTTAGGGACAGTCTTCCTCAGCAAAAAAAGAGGAAGATTGACGGCAGATGTTAACTCAGGGCTAATCTTCCTCAAAAAACAAAAAGTTCTCATCACAAGAAAAAAAATTCCAACTACTTGTGGTGATGATGTTAACTAGACTGATTATGGTGATCATTTCCAAACATATATAAATATAGAATCATGTTGTACTATACTCTAGTGTTATAAATAGATTATATCTCACTTTAAAAAAAATGATGCAGGGGACCTTCCTGGAAATGATGCAGGGGGCCTGCCTGGTGGCGCAGTAGTTAATTTAGTGCACTCTACTTTGGCTGCCCAGGGTTCACAGGTTCAGATCCAGGGTTCAGACATAGCATCGTTCATCAAGCCATGCTGTGGTGATATCCCACATACAAAACAGAGGAAGATTGCAACAGATGTTAACCCAGAGACAGTCTTCCTCAAGCAAAAAGAGGAAGATTAGCAATAGATGTTAGCTTAGGGCCAATATTCTTCACCCACCCAAAAAAAAGTGATTCAAATGTCTCAAGTGATAGACTCTAGTGAATGTTGTGGTGCATTGCACAGATTCCTATAGAAATTAAACTTTCTTTAGGAGACACCCTGTAAGTTTTAACTCAAGTCAAAGAAATAAAAGGTTCTCCTTTAAGGAAATAAATCCATTCCCCACATTTGCTGCTTGCACAAACACTACATTGCCTGAAAAGTTTTCATCTCTTATCTTTGTACCACAAGGGATCTGAATTGTTTGGAGAGAAGAAAGTCAATAGAACAATTTATTTAATGGGACGCTCTGAGTATTCAACTCTTGAGACTCTGGAAACATTAAACACATTTCTGTTGCCCCTTACCTATAATTCTCAGATCTTAGCCAATTGCAACCCCATTCGGCTTCCCAGGCATAGATGTCAGAGAACAGAAAGCTGCAGTGATAACCATCAGAGAGAGTCAGTGTCTCCAGTGAGGGCTGGTGGATTTGGAAGGAAAAGAGGAGAGAAACTGGGAACTGGGCTTCACCACTAGAGTAATGAGACTGGGACAGTCCCATATATATTTAGTCTACGATGGTGAAGTCTCTGTACTTTTAAGGTGCTTTAGTTCCTACTGAACCCAGTCCTTTCCAGCTCTCTTTCCGTTTTCCTCTCTCTCTTTTTGGAAACTAGAGCCTTTCTGTGATGAGAGTTATTTTCTGGAGAGTCTCCACCTCTTCTCTACTCTTTCTCAGAATTGCAGGCTCCTGTTTGATTTCCTGTGTCCAATCACTAACTACTTACTGGAGATCTATCATGCAAGAGGTATTGTTTATTTTATTCATGTGATTGGATTTTTCTATTATATTCCCTAGCTATTTTTACAGCAGATTTGACTTACTGATAGCACTTAATCTTTCTGTATTTACCATCATTTTTGATTCATTTTAGTGTTCACAACATCATCTACAAGTAATGTAGTTCTGATGTTTGGTACTCAGACCTGTTTCCTTTTCTCCACTTTCCAGTCTCCTTAAATGTTCAAGAGAATATCTAATGATTGAACTTGGATTGGAATGACTTGGTCTGTTCATGAATTTAACACAGATATTTTAGTGTTTTTAATTTAGAATATTCTGTTGGCTGCAGTTATAGAACAACAACTGTTTATTGTGTTTAGAAATTGTCTTTGGTTTCCTCATTTAGCGAGAGGCTCTGCCTGGGCTGCAAACCACAGTAATGACTGTTACCTTTTCTCAAAGTATTTTTAATTGTGATTATGCTTATGATTTCTCTTCTTTGACCTATTTTTGTGATGAATTACATTAGCAAACATCCTAGCATTAAACCAGGTTCTGATTCCTAGGTTAGGTATTACTTATTCATGATGTATCATTCTCTTAAAATAGATATGAATCCATTTGATTTAACTTCATTACTCTATTTTGTGTCTACATGCAGGCAAATGGGAGCTTGAAGATATCACTTTGTGCTATAGTTGATGCTCTGGGTCTCAATCTTTATTATACACCTAATACTCGCATGTATTGAGCACCTACCTAGTATGTGGTAGGCACCATGTAATCCCTGGAAAGAGAGTGGTGAGCAAACACACTTGCATCCTCTGACCCACAAACAAACCTAAGATTTCTAATGTTAGAAGCACATCAGTGAATAGTACAGGATGTTGGACTTGGGAGTCTCACCCATTCTGTCCTCCTGACCCCCACTCTCTGCTCACCACCTAACTGGCCTCTCAAATCCCTTCCATTCCCAAGCTCATCTACTCAGGGTGACCATGAATTGTCTTCTCTCAGCCAAAATGCTTCCCTTTTATTATTTCCCTTGATTTACAATTACCATCCTTCCTCACACAATTCAAATATCCATATTTTAGAGAAGGCTTTTTCACCGATCTCCCCAGAATAAATTGGTCCTCAGTGATTTTTTCTCTCTTCAAGTAGGATTCTCTAGGCATTAATGACGTGGATCTTTATTTTATTATGGAGAATATTATAATCAAATCTTAAATTTGCCTTTAAATTTTAAGATGATTTAATTTATAGAAGCTTTGAATACTTTTGTCAGATATATCAGGCATAGTTTTAGCAATGAACTCCACTGGTTAATACTATATATTCCCAGTTCCGAGCATGTACACATGAGCACAAATACTGTGTATTTTATTCTAACGGTATTGTGATTTTATTCCCTCCTCTTACCTATGTAGTCCACATGCTTTTCCCTCTTCTTGGAAGAATCCACCTGGCAAGCAGTCTCTGAAAGAGGGAGCCAAAGGGATCTTCATTAATTAGAAGTGCTGCATGGCGGTCAAAAGAGGTAACAGACCCATTGTGTTTATAGTGAACATAATTCTATCTTTGATGGCTACCTTAGTTTAAGGGGAATATTAATAATGATAGCCATGGAAAACTGAATTATTGTGACCTTAACTACAGAAGCTCACATTAATCAAGTGTCCACTATATGTCACAGGAATAGCACTATAAAAATTACATGCATCATCTCATTTAATTCACTCATCAGTCTTACATTGTAGGGAATATTTACCACTCCCATTGTAGAGGTGAGGTATCTGCAGTTAAGACAGACTAAATAACTTTCTCAAGCTCACACAGATGGTATGCTGATGGACCAAAATTCTATTCTAGGAAGTCTGACTTAAGATCCAATTTTCTAATTCACAGCTCTATTCTGTACCTTTGGAGAGTTATGTATCAAAAATAGTTGCCATAAAAGGAACAGACTAATAATGATAATAGCTATAGTTTATTGAGATTCTACTGTGATCAAAGGCATTTCTAAACCTCACAAAGAATATAATAGCAGTAACCACATTTTTATAAATAAAAAAATATAAGACACATGAGAGTTAACTGTGACATAATAGGAAGCATCAGGTCACAGAATTGAGATTGTTTGGGCTGAAAACCCATGTCTTAATCACTATCATAGGGTTATTAGAATGGAAGAAGTATGGGGATTATCAAAGAAAATACCTTAACTGTCTGTAATTATTTTGAAAGAGTCATATCAAAGAAGAAATTGGTTTAAGTCCAAAGATTCAAATAGAAGAATAAGAACCAATGAGTAGGAGATCAAAGAAGAGAGATTTCTGTAAAATTAAAGAAAGTCTGAATGGTACACATATTTGAGATGGAAATGGGCTATCACTTGAATGAGTGAATCACTGTCCTTGGAAAGACTCAACAAAAGGTGAAGTTTGTCCACCTAAAGGTAGAATCAAGAGGTGCAGATTTGCTGAGGTATCAGTTGAATGTTCATGGAACACTGCTTTTTCCTCCTTCCTTGGTAGGCATACCAGCTACATGGAAGCAGGAAACCACACAGAAGTATCAGAATTCCTCCTCCTGGGTCTCTCAGAGGATCCTGAACTGCAGTCCCTGCTCTTTGGAGTGTCCCTGTCCATGTACTTGGTCACTGTGCTTGGGAACCTGCTCATCATCCTGGCCGTCAGCTCTGACTCCCGCCTCCACACCCCTATGTACTTCTTCCTCTCCAACCTGTCCTTTGTAGACATCTGCTTCATTTCTACCACCATCCCGAAGATGCTAGTGAACATTCAGGCACAGAGCACAGACATCTCCTACATAGGATGCCTCGCTCAGGTGTGTTTTTCTACAATTTTTGCTGGAATGGATAATTGCCTTCTGAGTGTGATGGCATATGACCGGTTTGTGGCCATCTGCCATCCCCTGCATTACATGGTCATCATGAACCCACGCCTTTGTGGCCTCCTGCTCCTGATGTCTTGGTTCATCATTTTATCTGTCTCCTTGATTGATATCCTACTGATGATGCAGCTAACCTTCTGCATAGGCACTGAAATTCCAAATTTCTTCTGTGAACTGGTTCAGGTTCTCAGGGTGGCCTGTTCTGACACCCTCATCAATAACATCTTCTTGTATGTGGCCACTGCCCTGCTGGGTGTGTTTCCTCTCACCGGGATCATCTTTTCTTACTCTCAGATTGTCTTCTCTTTAATGAGAATGTCCTCTGCAGGAGGAAAATATAAAGCATTTTCCACCTGTGGGTCTCACCTCTCTGCAGTTACCTTGTTTTATGGGACAGGCCTGGGGGTCTACTTAAGTTCTGCTGTGACCCATTCTTCCCAGAGAAGCTCAATTGCCTCAGTGATGTACACCGTGGTCACCCCCATGCTGAACCCCTTCATCTACAGTTTGAGGAACAAGGATGTAAAGGGAGCCCTGGGAAGGCTCCTTGGCTCAGTAGCCTCTAGTCCATGGTGGGTCACTGGCCTCAGAACTTAGTGGATATTTTGGGCTCCAATGGTAAGTCTTGCAAATTTAAATCTCCTTTTTCTTTTGCTCCCTAAAAGACACTCTTAAACTTTTCAATTCCCAAAAAAACCCCAGGACTTCACATTCATTTTTGTACTAATTTGTCCTCAACAACCTCCTCAGTAATTCCTTTTTGACTTTTCTTCTCTATATGCTGTCCATAAAGTTTCATGTTTGGTCAGGTTGATTTAGTCATTCTTATGTTTTCCTACTTGAGATTTAAAGTGCTTATCATATCAAGTGCTGATGTGGTTTCTCCAAAATTATCCTCTCAAACATTGATGTTCTTCACTTTCATTTGGTGGTGTGCTTGTTTTCCCTATAAGAAATGTAATGAAAATCATACTGCCATCTCAACAAAGTGCTTACCACTTAGGATTGTGCTTGTTTCTTCACACGTATGACTTTATTTCATCTTGAAAACATTTCTTTGAGATATTTTCTTTCATTCACCCCACTTTTCAAAAGAAGAAACTGAGATTGAGTTGGACTATAACCTACTTAACTGACACTGACTTTGCTAGCCTCCTTTTCATAAGAACAGTGTTGTGATTTTCAACTTCAAACCAGAAATGGAGATTTGAAAGCTGTATTGTTCAAATGATTCATAGAACTATACCATTGAGAATTACTCTGAGATGTTGCATCATTCTTTGTGATCTTTCTTTCCATTCTTTTTCCTTTCTTTCTTCCTTCTTTCCATTCATTCATCCATCCTTCCTTCATTTTTCTCCTCCTTCCTTTCCTTCTTTTTTTACCTTTACTTACCATCATTGAAATTTTAAGATCGTGATGAATTTTCATCATCATGAAATTTTAATTTGGGGGGGTACTTTCTGGAGCTGCCATCAGAAATGTTAGTTACACATGTGTATAATGTGTTTAGAACTTAGCTTAATTTTTGAGAAGAATGTTTATAGAATTAATTCTGCAGCGAAAGATGGAGTAGTAGATGCTGTCATCATTCCTCCCACATTCCCTGGGATCATCTCACCATCTCCATTCCATGACTGCCAATGGCCAGGACCAGCTGGAACCTATGTTAATCAATACATCATGGGAGAAGTGACAGGGAATTATACACAATCAGAGGCAGCCCTTAAGGGAGCATTTTAGGGTATGCCTTGTCTTTTATCCTTTAACTAGGGTAATTCTGAGGTTTGAATTTTGTACCATTTTCCAGAATTCCCCCAATGAATGAAAATTCTGCTCAATCACAGTCATAGCTGACTTAATGCAAGTTTAATTTGATGTATTTTACACCTTGTGTCCACTTCTCGTCTCTCCCATCCATGTTCTTTGCTCCTTCCAATAAAGTGATTGCACATGAATCCTTGCATCAGTGTCTGCTTCTGTGGGAACTTAAACTAACATGAATGACAAAGACTGTGATGTCTCAAGACAACATCACGAAAGGATTTAGCAACTTTTGGAGAAAAAAAGAACTAATTATTGGAGATATAGTAAGGACTGAAAAATTACTCAAAAGTCCTAATATCTTAGAGAAAAAAGATATTATTTTCTTATTTGATGTGGCTTCAATTCACTTTGATTCCAACAAGTTTCATCCAATGTACGTTTATTGTCTACCGTGTCCAAACTGAGGAGGGGACCAGAAAGGTACAAATGATTGCAATACAGAGAGGTGAGCATAATAATATTGCTGTGTAGTAGGAACTGTGGAAAACAAAGATAAAATATTTAACCTCTCCTTGAGTAATTTAAGGAAAAAATCTTAGACATTTATTTTTAACAGTTTTTTAATAGGCAAACTTTTATTTTGCATTCTGCATGAAAAAAAAGTCTGGGAGCAAAACGCAAGTACTCATGTTTTCTTCAGCTCTGGTTCAAGCTTCACATCTACAACCTATTCTAAGGCTATCCTTCTAGTGGTACAAGGGAAAGGATGAGAGGAGGGGAGAGAATCCTTCCAAAGTAGGAAACGCTATAGATTCTCAAAAGATTTAGAGATTCACCAATATAACTCTTCCTTTAAAAAAACCAATTCCCAGGGTGCATCAAACTCAATTTCACTGGGAAGGATATCCAAATGAGAGTACCCTATTCCCACCAGAACTTACAGCCCTGAATTGCTGCTTTCTGTTTTGACCCTCAAAAGTGGAGTCAATTACACAATTACACTGCTTCTGAAATTTAATTTGCGTACAGATCACCTGTGGATCTTGTTAAAGTGCAGATTCTACTTCAATAGGTCTGGTGTGAGGTTCCCAGGTGAAGCTAATACTGCTGGTCCTGCTGATCCAGGGACCATACTTCAAACAGCAAGAAACTAGCAGGAGACTGAGTATCCTTCAACGTTCATTTTCAAACTCTGGTGTTGAAAAAAATCTCCTGTGGGTCTTATTAAATTCAACTACTTGCAATTCTTGGGTGAGCTGAGCATCTATAACAAATATCCACAAGCAATTCTGATATACACCAATGATTAAAAAGCAGCAGCCCTAACATACAATAGCGGGGAGAAGGAGTAAAGGGCGCCATTTACATTACAGACACAGTAAATTTGTTTTTATTTATGACATTTTTCACCATGTGGCAGTAAAGCATCTTGAGGAAGGGGTTCCTTTTTCTAACAAGCACGAAGGTATTTCATAAGACAGGGGCAGCCTGGTGATGGCAATCCAGTAGTTTCTTGCTACAGACACACTACCCTGTCCATGCACTCTGGACTTCAAAGAGGAAAGGAGAATGAAGATAATAATCACTGCCATGGCTACTTGTTAGCTCATAAGGAAGTAAACACAGCTGGGGCTGTGTCTTCCTTCTCTGTCTCCAACTCATTGGGGCACCAAATGTCCATTCCTCATCCCTGTTAGTTTATCACTGAGCTGAAGAAATCAAAGTAGTGAGTTATCAACTGTCCTGAGGTAAGAAGTACAAAAGGTTGTTGTCCTCAACAGTTTTCCCTGAACCTGGAACCAATTTCCTAGTTTACTGGAAGTCCACTTGTGGGATAGAAAGTTGCCCTAAATTTAACCCAATCTCTACCTTTTCCCCAAGACAGGCAGGTGCATATTTTCTTTTAGCTGTTTGATAATTAGACTTTAGGGATATTGCTCAGGAATATATTCTTCATGCTTCATTTCTATCTCTAGTGCTGAAGTCACCAAAGTATCCCAGGAATTCATGAACTGCTGTCCCTAGCAATATAAAGCTACATCGCGTTTGATACACACACAATTATTTCAAAAGCAAAGTTTACAACTAGATAGAACACCTGTTTTTTACAAGTCAAACACTAAAGGACCAATATAAAACTGGCTGCAAACACATATCAAAGATGCTATCACTTGGTTAAAAACAAATTAATCTCTGGCTCATTCTTTCTCAGAGTGTATTCTTCTTACTCTGAAATTTCTGGGCAGTTATTGAAAAGTAAGCCTATGAAGGGGAGAAAAATATTCCTTCAAACGCTTTGTGGCTGTTGGAAAATGGCTATGTCTACCAAATCAAAGAGTGCTACATTTATTTCAAACCACAAGATTGGAACCAAACTGTTGCCTGTCAACTGGAGGATGCCAACTTTTTTAGTGGATAATATTTTTTGAAAAAAACAAAGACACAAGAAAAATAGGAGGGGTCTGGGTCTCTAGGTATAGACCGTGAGAGACTTGTGAGATAGGAAAAAATCTTCAGTGGGTCAGACGATGGTCATACCATACAACGACTGAAGACACACAGAAGACACCCTCACTGCAAAAAAAAAAAAAAAAAAAAAAAAATAGTTTCAGCCTTCAAGTATGTACCGCTGGCTATGCTCCAGTTGCTGTGTTAAAACTTGGGTGAGGGAACTCTTATAAGGTAAGACGTAAGAAGAGCAGTCTTTTATACTCCTTGCTACCCTGGGAATAACCCCCCTGGCCTATACTGGGCAGTTTAAACCCGGTCCCGGATTACATCAATAGCTCCCTCAGCCCCGGAGCTATCTAATCTCTCCCAAGACAGATTTTAATTCTAGGAGAGGAGGTGAGGGAGGCGGGGCAGAAGTTCTGGAAACCCTTCGAATCTTCAGCGTGTACAAATCCCTTTCAGATGAACAGGCAAGGCTAAGGTTCTTGTGCCTGAGAGAAATATGTAAATTTCCTCCTCCTATTTGGAAACCCAGAGAGCAGAAGAGGCACGGAAGCGATGCGAGCAGTAAGCCGGCCTAGCGCACAGGGAACCAGAACCTCTGGCCCTCCCCACCCGCACTATGGCATGGCCGCCAGAGCCCGCTGCCCTCCCCCGCCCTCCAGGTGCCAGGGACCTCGCCAAGCGCTGGAAGCAACGGAACTCAGGCACTCTGATGGGCTGTGTCTGCGGCTGCGGCCCTATTATGAAAGAGCAGTGAGGTCTCAGCACTCAGGGTGCACCTGCACTGAGGGCTGGCGGGTACCCCGCTGTGCCCCCTCGGCGTGCCCAGGGCCCGCACTCTGAGCATCGCGGGTTGCCCACCCGAGGGGAAGCCAGGTGCGTTCTGCACGCGCGAAGAGCACCAAGCCCTCTGGCCTGCCCAGCTAACGCATCCTTGAGGCGCCCAGCTGTCTTCGCCCCGGATTCCCGAGGGGCTCGCTGGGCGCTCCTCACCTGCTTGCCCCGGTGGAAGAGGAGCTGGCACTTGGGCCGCAGGTCGAGGAGTGCCCACACCCGCTCACGCAGCTCCTCAGTTGCGGCTCTGAGAGACACGTCCTCAATGGTGCTTGTCTGGGAGCCAAGGATAGAGCGAACCTGGATCCACATCTTGGCGCGAGGAGAGGGGGTGGCCCCGCTTTGTCTCCATCTGCACTCTGGGCGCTGCGACCCACCACACGCCGGCCCTCCTAGTGGAGCTGAGGAGGGAAGGAAACTGGAACAGTCGGAGGCACTGCCGCCACCGAAGACACTGCTTCACAAATAGAAAGAAGTTTTTATTTTTAACATTTTTATTAAGAAGTAAATTACATACATGAAATTCACCCATGATAATGTAAGTTAAATGATTTTAGTAAATTTATAGAGTTATGTGTGCATTACCACAATCCAGTTTTTAGAATATGTCTAGCACCTCAAAAAGTACAGTTGTGCTCAATTGTAGTTAATTCCCACACCTACCTGAGCCCTAGGAAACCACCTATCACTATCTGCCTCTGTAAGTTTGCTTTTTCTAGATATTTTATGTAAATAGAATCATACAGAATGTGGTCTCTTGTATCTAGCTTCTTCTACTTACCAACGTTTTTGAAGCTCATCCATGCAGATGCATGTATGAATACGTTGTTCCTTTTAATTGCAGAATAATATTCTATTGTATGTTTATCCCACATAGTGCTTATCCAGTTACAGCTGATGGACATCTGGATATTTCCAATTTGGGGCTATTATGAATAATGCTGCTATGAACATTCGTGCACGTGTCTCTGTGTTGACATGCATTTTCATTTCTCTTGGAGAGATATCTTGGAGTGCAATTACTGGGCTATATGGTAAATTTATGCTTAACTTTTTAAGCATCTGCCAACCTATTTTCCCGAGTGTCTGCACCATTTTACATTCCCACCAGGAAAGCATGAATATTCCAGCTTTTGGACATTTTCACCAACACTTACCATTCAAGAAAAACTTCAAACAGGAAAATACGCTTGAATGTTGAAGACCAGTAATGAGTAGAAATTTAACTGGAGAGTAGGTTTGGGTGACATTCAAGAGACTTTCAAGAGTGAGGCATATCAGGAAGATACATGGAACTTATGGCTGAGATATTAGAAATAACTTTGGATATGTAGATGGAACACAGACCACTGAGAGTCTAATTTGACATATAGAGGATTTTATAAGCAGTTGGGCACCAGAGTCGTGCTGTAATTATATGTGCAAGATGAGGATTTTAGGATTGCCCTGACTGAGAGAAATTGGAGGCAGAGGGCACAGTTAGGAGGGTGTAGGAGCAGTCCGGGGAAGACATTGTTATGCCAGTAACAATGACATGGGTAGATTTTGGAAGAAAGATGTATTAGTTAGGATTGCTACTGTAACAAATAGCTCAAATTTTGGTGGCTTAAAAAGACACAAATTTTTGATCTTCCAATTTTGGAAGGCAGAATTCTAAAATGTATAAGCAGGACTGCCTAGCTTCTGACAGCTCTAGAGGAGAACCTACTGCCTTGCTTTTTCCAAATTCTAGAGGCCCCCTATACACATTGGCTTGTTTCCTCTACCTTCATCTTCAAAGTCAACACTATAGCACCTTCAAATATCTCTCTAGTCCTAGTTTCCTCTTATAAGAACCCAAGTGATGACATTGAGCCCACCCAGATAATTCAGGATAAATTTCCCTTCTCAAGATCTT